TAATAATAATAGCAATATGTAAAACGCTATACCAATGTAGGTCATTCAAGGAGTGGGTTAGTTACGGTTCTTCGTCCATCAGTTGATTGGCGAGACAAACTGTGCATGTGTCAATGTACTTCAGTGACTGTTGACACGATAATCTAAACTTAAAGAAAGGCAGACACACGGAACAGCAAATGAAACTTAATTCACACAACGTGGTCTTTTTTTCGGAAGTCAGGGGAAAACGCTTCATAACCATCAATTACCTGGGCAACGTTTCGATCTATGTAGAGCTCAACACGGGGCGAAACGGTGTCCTATAAAAAAAAAATGTCCTGCAGCGTGCGCCTTGTCCTCGCTGTTGTCGACCGTACGTCAGTGGGATCCAGTGTTATTATGGCGAAGATGGCAGCGTCTTGTCGTTTTTTCAGACCAATATTTGGGAGGTTTGGGTTTTACGTTTTACGGCATGTGGTTTTACGACGTGCAATCCACATTTTGAGTTTCGCTAGTTCGCTACCAATGATTTTCCTTTTATTACACTCGGTTTACTTCTCACGATTTACGATTTTTGTTTTCCGCTTGCGATATACGATTTCTGTCTTTCGACATACGATATACGATTTCTGTCTTTCGACATACTATATACGATTTATTATTATATGATAGATTATTCTTTCTTTAATATTAGTTATTTGTGCTTTGCGATTTGTGATTTATGGGTATCGTTTTTGCAATTTATGCTATACGATATATGTATTATACCTAACGATTTCTGACTGGTTTTCACGAGTTAAGCTATATGATAGGTAACTTATGGTTTACGATTTACTATTGCGTTATACCCTATATGATCTATGGCTTACGATTTACGATTCACCTTATACGATATATGATCTACGGCTGACGATTTACGATCGTCGATTTACCATCCCGCGAGAGCCAGACGTCATTTGTTAGCGAGATAAATCTTTTCTCTTTCTCTTTTTATCCCCTTTCCTTTTACATTTCCTTTCCTTTCTTGTCCTGTCTCATTAGTTCTCAGCTTCTGCGGTTTCTCAGTAGGTTTTCCCTTCATTTTAAATTCTGTTTCTCCACTTTCTCCTTCCTTTTTATCAGTCCTTCTCTCTATCTCTCAGTATCCTTTTCACTATCTGAAATTCTCTGTCCAGGACCTCCCATTTCCCCGTCGCATTCTTCTGCTTTTCCTTCTCTACTTTGCCCTTCTTCTCTTTATTGACGTTTCTTTATGACTCCGTTTTCCTTAGCTTTTCCTTTAATTTTTCTTAAAATTTCTGTCTATGGTCTTTCTCCTTGCCATTGGCTTCTCTTTAATTTCTTTTCTTTCTTGATCTTTCTCATTCTTATTCGTCTGCTATCTCTTAATTCCAATTTCTTCTCCTTGTTCGCCTTTCTACTTGGCATTTTTAATTATACTTCTTTGTCTTGACCTTATATTTTCCCCTCCTCTTCATTCACCTTCTTCTTCTCCTCCCTTTCTTGAAATCTTTACATCTTCTTTGAACTCTCTCTCTCTCTCTCTCTCTCTCTCTCTCTCTCTCTCTCTCTCTCTCTCTCTCTCTCTCTCTCTCTCTCTCTCTCTCTCTCTCTCTCTCTCCCCCTTTCTTTCATCTACTCTCTCCCACCGTCTTACACCATCTCTCCATTACCCGCATCAGTGTCCAGTTATGGAACTTCCAGATCAATACTTCTCCAGCAACCATTCATTAGTTATTGTGGACCTCAAGTAAGGTATCAAAAGCTTAGTTGTACATTGAAGGAGCCATCAGTGACAGTTGGGTCGTTGAAGAAGAAGAAGAAGAAGAAGAAGAAGAAGAAGAAGAAGAAGAAGAAGAAGAAGAAGAAGAAGAAGAAGAAGAAGAAGAAGAAGAAAAAGAAGAAGAAGAGACAGAGGGACAGAGAACAACGATGCATTCATCCAGTGTGGCACAGACCTCCAGACCTCCAGACATTATAAACAAAATGAGCGACAGAGAAGAGTACGATACATTTTGACCAAGGGCTCAGTAAAAGGGGAGTTCTTCGGCCGTGGTAGGAAGAGGATGACAGTAGGGAGGGTTGACAGTGGGATTGGTAAGATCAGCCGTCCAATCTCTCATGATTGTGTTGGGGAGAAGAGCTTTGGTACTGATTAGGGCCGGGTGCAGAGATGATAGTTTTCAGTGTGTGGAGGCGGTCTCAGGCAGTGGTAATGAAGTTCGGTGGTGATGGAGCAAGAGGAGGAGGAGGAGGAGGAAGGGAAGAGAGAGGAGGAAAATAGGGAGAGAGAGGAGGAGGAGAGAAAAAAGAGGAAGTAAAAGAAGAAGAAAACGAAAAAGAACAAACAGCAAAAGAATGAAAATAAATAAAAATTGTAAGAAGAGGGCAATGAAGAGCCAAAGAAGGGAAAGGAGGAAGAGGAGAGGTAGGAAGAAGAGTTAATGGTCAACGAAGAAGGCTGTAGTCTCTGGCGCAGACTCGCTTCTGGATGCACGTGAGAAGGGTAAGTCTCCCTATTTTTTTCCCCTTGAAGGAACAAAGTCTCAAGCTTCACGGTAGTGTGACAACAACAGCAGACTACCTACCTGCGTTGGGACAGTTATTGGACTTGAATTATATCCGCCTCAAATACTTTCCGATTTTTGAGTTGCACTTCTAAGCATATTTTAATCACATAATAATAGAATTTCTCAAAATTCATTTATGCATTCATTTATCAGTGATATTGCATTAAGTTGTGGTTAATTTATTTATTTATTATTATTATTATTATTATTATTATTATTATTATTATTATTATTATTATTATTATTATATGGAACAGATGCTTAAGGCGTGGAAGACTCTGCTGAGAGAACTGAAAATTCTCCTGAAGGCATGGAACACTCTGCTGAAAGAACTGAAACTTCTCCTGAAGGCATGGAACACTACTGAGAGAACTGAAAGTTCTCCTGAAAGCATGAAACACTCTGCCGAGATAACCGAAAGTTCTCTTGAAGGCATGGAACACTCTGCTGAGAGAACTGAAAGTTCTCCTGAAGGCATGGAACACTCTGCTGAGAGAACTGAAAGCTCTCCTGAAGGCATGGAACACTCTGCTGAGAGCACTCAAACACTGATAAACACATTATGCTATATACTAAATGCATAGAACATTCTATCCTCTGCTGAGGACACGAAACACTCTAATGAAGGTAGCAGGAACCAGAAAGTCTTGCACAATCTCGGCCAGTGGAAAATAAATTTCAGAGTAAAATTATCTCTCATTAATTCCCTGTAAATGTAAATTAAACGGAAGCGAAAGAGAAATTTCGCTTTTAAATTGTCCTAAAAGGTGATTATGCCATCATAATTTTTCTTTTGCTTCGTTAAAGTTCATCTTAGATTACACATCGTCTCTAATACAAGACACTCAATCTCTCACAACATTTCCAACATAGATGTCTGCCGCGGGTTGCTTGTGAACAACACAGCCCTATCATATGAATACTAAGCACGGTACGTGTGGGGTTAGAACCCACGGCAAGCGAGTCGTAAAACTCCAAGTCAGTGCTTTAGCCACTGGGTCAGCTGGCCACAATAAGATCATCCAATTAGGTATATTTAAACACCATAGGAAAGTTAACACGAGTCCCACTGTGACCACAAATGCAAGTTTTTTACACGGGAGATTCATCTCCCGTGCAATCGTGTTATTTCGATTTCGTGAATCATACGAATACTCTTTAACAGATGTTTTTCATTGGAAGTAACCAATACGTGTCAAGAAATGCTATAACGTAGCTCAATCGCTAGCACACTCAGCACACACACTGAGGGCTGGGATTCAGTTTCCCGGGACTGCAGGAAACATTAGGACATGTTCCTCAAGACACATGCTGTCCCTGCTCACCTAGCAGTAATATGGGTACCTGGGTGTTAGACGATTGGTGTGGGTCGCATTCTGGGACAAAAACTGACCAAATTTCCCCGAAATGCTCTGCATAACAAGCTCTTTCTATATAGTAGTATGTCATTGATGTCAGCTAGGCTTGTATACCTTGTACATGTACTTGTAGACATAAAGATATTATTATTATTATTATTATTATTATTATTATTATTATTATTATTATTATTATTATTATTAATTATTGGCTGGATTTGTGGTAGTTTAAAATAATAACTTGACAAAACTTATTCTCTTAACCTCAATATTGCCTTTGTTCTTCTTTTCCGGCTCATGGAGGCTTGGTTAAGTTGGTTAATGGGGTTTGAAGCCGATCGGTTAAGGTAAACACTCAGCCTATATACGCTCATAGAAACACACCTCTTGTATATATCTTGCTACGATGGGGGATTTGTTTGTTAATGGCCTTTAAAGCCTATCAACTACCCAAGGCTCATTAAGGCTGCACGGTAATCCGGTAATCCGTTCACCAAAAGACAAGAATACGTTAATTTGGAAATTGGGAATTAAAGTAAACTATCAAAATACTGGGAAAAGGGTCTGTGTGCTTCGGTTTATTTTTTAGTGTTTTTGTGTATTGTAAATAATAATCAACAGAGTTTATGCAACTGCAGTTTTAATACTAAGATTTGTGATATATTATGAAATATGGCAGAACAATATTTATTCATCTGATTTATCGTATTCGAATTATACTAATACTTTCCTGTCACTGTTGACGTGTGTGAAAACAGAATGCTAAATACCGCAATTTTTACACAAGAGATTATACTCTAAAAAAATGCTTCAGAAATATCAGTAATTATAGACCAACTAACACTGCTGTAAGCCCTCTTAAGATTTTTCATTAAGTTGTTTAAGCGAGAAGTTACTCCATTGTGTAACTACCGAAGATGTGTACTCATTAAAACACCGTTTCGCTCTGTATCCATTCAGAACTTTACTGAAGCTTCTTCTGCCTCTTCTCTTTTCTTCACTAATGTCGGAAGTTCACCATTTGGATCCAGACAATGATTAGATTAATAGGCCTGCAAACACTAGCGACTAAAGAGTGCTTTAGACTCACCTATGACTGTAGTGAGGATCATGACGCCCAGCACGACAGAGGTGATGACCATGCCCACTGTGTCTACAAGAAGTTCATCGCTAGTTCCATTGCCGAAGACGAGGCTTGAGTTCAAGGAGTCATTGATCCCGAGCCAGTAAGTGTCGTCGAGGGTGACTAACGAGTCGTTGCTGCTCAGTATGAGGTCAGGAACGGAGGGACCTAGCATTCCCATCGTGGCCGAGGTGGCTTCCGCCTCCAACACTCTTCCAGACCCTGAGGTCAGTGGCTCCAAGACGGTGGTAATATTAGTCGGGGTTTTCAAGAGTGTCTCCATTGTCGTTCTCAAAGTGAAGTTCAGGGGAAAGATGGGTTTGTTGATGGGTGGGGTTGTGGTAGTGGTGGGCGGCGTTGGCGAGGAGGTGAGGGCACTCCCCACAGTTCCCCACAGAGTGGTGGCTGGGGCATCAGTGGTTCTGCTAGGGTCCTGGAGGATTGGATGTCCCTGCCCGCTGCCTCCCTCCAGAAGCCCATCCAAATACTCCAGTAGGTTGGGGAGTGTATAGTTCCAGTCATCGCTAGTCGTGTTCTCTGTAAGCATGAGAAATGGTTTGTTTTTAGTGTCTGCTCCAAGTCGACTGTTAATTAAGCAAAAAAATATCATTGTTTCTCTATGTTACAGGAGAAATCATAGTGTACTAACAGAAACCGATTTATATATACATACTTGTCGTTATTAACGACTGTCAATGAATAAAGACAAGAATGGACGGGGACTCGAACCAGTCAGCCACGAGGGTTCTAATACAATCAGGACATCTGTGACGTGAACATATCAGCAGCACGAACTGTGATCCCACTGTTTCATCTCACAGCACCAGTTACATGGAACGTCTATTCTCATACCCCTCAAAGCCATACAGATGTACTGGTTATAAACTCATCACTGTTACAACCCTGGTAACTGAGTGGTTAGAGTTCAAGTCCTCGTCCATTCTCCCGTTCATTTATACATACATGAAAATAGCGCTCACACACACACACATATGCCACAAACCACACACACACACACAACACACACACACACACACACACACTTCCACACAAGAGATTGGTGCAAAAACTGAGGACCAAGCAGGGATAACAGGGAAGGCACTACAATGGATCAGGGAATACTTGTCAGGAAGACAGCCCCAGCCACAGGAACGTGGCGAGGTGTCCCATGTGGGCACTGTGAAAACCCGCGGGGATCCCACAGGGGTCAGTCCTAGGTACAGTGTTGTTTCTGGTATTTGTGAACGAAATGGCGGAAGGAAAAGACTCTGAGGTGTCCCCTGTTTGCAGATGACGTGAAATGATGAGAAAATTCCACTCGATCTAAGACCAGGCAGAACTACAAAGGGATTGGACAGCTGCAGACCTGGTCCAGCAATTGGCTCCTGGAGTTCAATCCCACCAGTGCAAAGTCATGAAGATTGGGGAAGGGCGAAGAAGACCGCAGACGGAGTACAGTCTAGGGGGCCAGAGACTACAAACCTCACTCAAGGAAAAAGATCTTGGGGTGAGTATAACACCAGGCACATCTCCTGAAGCGCACATCAACCAAATAACTGCTGCAACATATGGGCGCCTAGCAAACCTCAGAACAGCATTCCGACATCTTAATAAGGAATCATTCAGGACCCTGTACACCGTGTACGTTAGGCCCATATTGGAGTATGCGGCACCAGTTTGGAACCCATACCTAGCCAAGCACGTAAAGAAACTAGAGAAAGTGCAAAGGTTTGCAACAAGACTAGTCCCAGAGCTAAGAGGTATGTCCTACGAGGAGAGGTTAAGGGAAATCAAACTGACGACACTGGAGGACAGGAGAGATAGGGGGGACATGATAACAACATACAAAATACTGAGAGGAATTGACAAGGTGGACAAAGACAGGATGTTCCAGAGATTGGACACAGTAACAAGGGGACACAGTTGGAAGTTGAAGACACAGATGAATCACAGGGATGTTAGGAAGTATTTTCAGCCACAGAGTAGTCAGTAAGTGGAATAGTTTGGGAAGCGATGTAGTGGAGGCAGGATCCATACATAGCTTTAAGCAGAGGTATGACAAAGACTTAAGAAATCGTAATGACACGTAATGATGACGGCAGTGAAGGGACTTGAGCTAGAGTTCGTCACGGCCACGCTAGCTGGAGATTCGTCTGTAAAAACTTGCATTTGTGGTCACAGAGGTGCCTGTGCTAACTTTCCTATGGTGTAGAAATATACCTAGTTGGATGAATCTTATTGTGGCTAGCTGGTCTAGTGGTTAGCGCGACGGGCTGGAGTTTTGAGACTCTATGACCGCGGGTTCAATCCCGGCCGGGGGTATGGTTTGTATGACAAAGCTCACGGCTCGGGGAGAGTGACCTAGTAGCGATCAGTGAAGAGGCGGGGCCAGGAGCTCGGACTCGACCCCCGCAACCTCAACTAGGTGAGTACAACTAGGTGAGTACACACACACGCTGCCAGCCACACACACAGCCAGGAGCTGTGAATCGACCTGTGCAACCACAAATGGTTGAGTACACACACACACACACACACACCTGAAGGGTGTCACACATGTAGACATAGAAAAACAGCAATGGAAATGAGACTATGTATTTAGACTCCCAGCTCGTCAGCAGCTAATGTGTGTGTGTGTGTGGTGTGGTGTGTGTACTCACCAATATGTGGTTGCAGGGGTCAAGTCATAGCTCCTGTCCCCGCCTCTTCACTGGTCGATACTAAATCACTCTCTCCCTGCTCCATAAGCTTTATCATACCTCTTCGTAAAGCTATGCATGGAATTTGCCTCCACTACTTCACTCTCCAGGTTATTCCACTTCCTGACAACTCTAACGCTAAAGAAATACTTCCTAACATCGCTTTGACTCGTTTGGGTTTTCAGCTTCCAATTGTGGCCTCTTGTTTCTGTATCCTATCTCTGAAACATTCGAGCCCTGTCCACTTTATCAATTCATCTCAGTATTTTATACGTCGTTATCATGTCCCCCCTATCCCTCCTATCCTCTAGTGCCATCTCTCCTCCAATTTCTTGACC